CACTTTTTAAAATTAGTATATTTTTAAAGAGGAGGAGCTAGGCTAAAGGCTTAATTTTAAAGTTAATTAAATTAATACTTCATAGTGTTTGTATTTATTCATGTGAAGTTTATATGAGTGAATGCATAATGAGATTGCTGTATTTTGCTACTCTTTATAGTACCTGAATAAGAAAATAAAAATATCAATGCAGCTGCATATAGACTAAACACAGCAGTGGATATATTATTTTCATTAAACCAAGAGGAAATTCTTTGTGTTCATATATAGTATGTCTTTTACTATATTGTGTTAAAAAGCATCGTTTATTTAGACATAAGCTGCAATTTTCCTTATCAATTTTGTCATCTTTTTAAAAGCAAAAATGATTAGATATTTCATGGTGTAAAATAATAAGCCAATGAAAGAGTGTACATTTTAAGTTTCAAGCAGTTATGGGTAGTTTTCTGACGTGTAAAGAGTGACTGTGTGATTAGTTAAAGTTGTTTATTATTTTTGGTTGTGAGATGGTCATGATTATACTTGAAGTGTGGTGAATGCTTTTGTGACCCTAAACAGAGGATGCAGCAAAAAATTATGAAGGCATAATGGGGAACAAGACTGGATTGTCACATTCAAAATGTAGGTCTAATGTAGAATTCTGATCTTTGCAGCCATAACTTTCCACTGCTCATTATTCAGATATATTCAGGTAAAGAAAGTGGTATTGTCAGAATTATTTGAAAAATAGTGGCAAAAACCACTTCAATTTTTTCTTGAGCAGCTTAGTCATTTTGAGTCCAGTTTAAGAGATACTTGAAATTTAACATTTAAAATATTGTGTGGTTTTTGCAAATAAAGTCTTCTCAGAAATGTTTATGAAGTCAGCAACTAGCAATGTCAGTTAAGTTTGCAGCCTGCTAGAGGTGGTTGTGCTGGAAATTTCAGCACCTCTGGAGTAGCACATAACTAACTCTTGAGACCAAGCATAGGCAATATAATAATCTAGTTAAAGAACTGAATGCCTAAATTATCAAGCAAGGAATGCAATTATTATCGCTGTGCTTAATAGGTGGTTTAAATTTAAAATACAAACTTGGAATTCTAAAATTGAAAACAATTTTCTCTGAGTCCCTAAGCTAACTCCTGAGTAATCATTCAGTGAACTAAGATAATTATTATTTTGTTCGGTTAGATTTTCACTGATTATATTTGCCTTGAATAGACTGTTAAAATTAAATTGCCTTATGGGTGGAAGCCACATTTATTCTCCTAATGTGTTGATGAATTCCATTATTTATGTCTTTGCCCTCTTGGCACCATGAAAGCTGCCTGACTATGTTTTCATGTTTTATACTTGGTACACCTTGTTTTTCTTTGCTAGTTCAGAATCAGGTAGATAATAAATACAGATGGTATGAGATGGAAAACTTTGAGAATTTTTTCAATTATTTGTGTTGTGAAATGCATGCAATCTACTATTGGTGATACGACTTCAAAGACTGTTAGTATCTAAGAATTATTAGGCGCATTTTTATTTTCAAGAACTTTGCTCTTATAGTGCTCTAAATTGTTGTTATGGAACACCAGTGAAGTAAATATTGCCTCTTGCCTCCTTTCAGTATTGAAAGTACTGTACTCTCTGGTTTAATTATGTCCCATATTCTCCCAAGTCAGTTTTGTAGAATGTGTACTTTATTGATGAAAGCAAAATTCAAGCTGATAAAATAATGTTTAATTCTCCCAAGTAATTCTCTCCAAGTAACTACTATCAAATTAAGAATAAAAATCTATGTTTTAACAAATGATATACAATGTCATCGTGCTCTGCCATAAAGGCAGATTTTAGTCATTTGTAGAATGGATGTACATTAAGACCATGATGCTAAGTGAAATTAGTCAGACTCATAAGCTTAAATAAGACATGGTTTCTCTTCTATGAGAAAGACAAAATATAAACAGATTAAAAGGCAAAGTAGAAGACATATAATAAGAAACAGGGAGATAGATCTTTTACAAAATGGAAGGGGACCAAGCAATGGAAGGAGGGGAAAGAGGTGAATAATGCATTAAGATGTGTTACGTCCATGCACCAACTCCCCACGAAGAATGTAATTATCCTGTTAAGTCCAGCAAACATGTACTACTAAAACTAAAAATTTAAAAAATGAGATAGACGAGTGACTTTGAGGAAGACACACCTAATTTTCTCCACTATCGAGTAACTATTTATGTTGCATGTGGTTGCCAACAGCATGTTCTTTTCTGTTAAACGTGTAGATTTACTTTACACGTTTTCCCTAAACTTTCTATTTTATTTCATAAGATACTGGACATTCAGGTGTATGTAGATGTTCAAGCATTCATAGTTAAAAACAGAGTTAAAGGCTATTTGAATATATCCATACCATAGGAATTCATTATGGAGTAAAATGATAATTAAGTTGGATGAGCTCTTCTGGTGTGTATCATGAATAGATAAACTTGAGCAAAGACAGGACTTTCTGAAGACAAATGGGTCTCTTGTTCCTAGTGATTCTGGCATCTATTTTAAATAGTAAAAAAGAAGTTTTAAATCTCACATTTTAAGTCCAATTCTAATGTTTAGAAAAGAGAGAAGTTCTTCTGGCATGTAAATACTAAGGTACAAGATTTCCTAAAAATTTGTGTGCTATAGATACAAATATTTCAATAGTTTAAATACACAACTGCATTTTGAAAGTTGATATAAATTGCATTAACAAAAATCTTATGCTTTTAAAATGCTTCAGAATACCCACCTTAAGATTTCAGCTTAAATGTATAGTAGTTACTCACGTTTATGAACACTAAGATTTTCTTGCGATTAGGGGTTTTCTGATTGTCTTACTTTAGAATATTCTGGCTTGACACAGAGTTTGTTGAGGTAAATACAAACTCAGAATGCTAATTACATTGTAGTCTTCCAGATTTAAAGTTTCTGTGGATTGATAGAAGGGACATGTTTCTTTAAACATTTTAGATTCAGCCGTTTGTCTTGTCACTGTTACCTTGTAAGTGGAGGCATATTTTAATGCACGAAGGCAGTGATAGATACAATGGGAAAGAAAAGTTATGCTTAAGAAAGTATAATGTTTTTCAGATAAAGAGATTTGTGTAGTACCAACAATGTTCTCATTGACAAGTTTTATCCTGGCTGGTATTTTATGTTCCAAGTGTTAAGTTTAAAAAACGGAACACTGATATCCTCAAATAGGAAAGCGAGTGATGTCTGAATTTCTCTTGAGATTATGCATCTTTATGTTCATTATATTTTTTGTTTGCTTCTGATAGGCCAGTTTTAAGCAACATTCAAAAACATCTAAAATAAAATTTGTAGGGCTCGGGGTTTTAGCTCAGTGTTTCTGCTTCCTGCCATCTCAAGCACAGTATATTTTATTTTCATGGTGTTTTTTGGTACCGGGGATTGAATTTAGGACCTTGCTCTTGCGATGCAGGCGGCAGAACCACTGAGCTAAATCCCCAGCCATTCATGGTTTTAATTCATTGACACCAAATGAAAATACAACTAACTTTTGGGTAGGTAGTCTTCAAAATAAACAGAGTTCATAGTAACAAATTCTCTCAGTTACGGCATTTGTTTATGATGCTATTTCCTCTTTGATTTAAATTACTTATAAAAAAAAGGAGAATTTGGTTTTAGCAAAGACTGCTGTACATGTGTTATGTTTTAAAAAGTTGTTTTTAAAATCTAGATTTGGATAAGCTAACGTATAGAATAATTGAAAAGTTTTAAATTTTAAATGGCAGTTTCTGCTTTTTATTTCACAGTGAAGTTTAGAAAATATCTGGTTCAAAAACTGGCATATGTTTCTTATATCTGAGTTAATTACTTGCTTTGCTGTATAAATAATTTAATATGGTAATTTTCATTTAGTGTATCTGGCCAACAATTTAAATTTCTAAAAAGCATTCTGAAAAATATTTAAATTAACATAGAATAGCAAAATTGAAAAGAATCAGAATGTGCTTTAATTTAACTAAGAATTCTTGTCATATACTTTTCACCTAATAACATTCATAAAACAAACAAACATCCCATTATACTTGAAATAATCTCATAGTATTATTGATAAATTCAAAGTAAAAAATTTATCAAATACTATTTCCATCTTGGGAATGGCTTATATTTTCAATACATTTGTTCAGACATATTAAAACATTCTTTACTATATATAATTGATTTATTTATATAATTTAGAATTAAAACTTTCTTCCCTTTACAGTTGGAGATAGTTTGAACTCATGTAATTTTCATGGGAAAACTAGTTTTATTTAAAAAATCTTTCACTGATCCATTTTTGTTTCTATTGAATTCATTTTATAAAAATGTAAATACTTTAATCACATTAAATTTTAAAGTTTCATTTTAAACTGAGTATCTTATTGAAATTTTTTCAGTTGTATCAAAACTTTAGATGCAATCATACAGGTGAATACACAGCTATTAAAATCTAACAAAAGTGAAAATGCTGGCTTGAAATTTTCACTGTTTGGCAATAATTAAAAATAAATCACTATAACACATTTAAAAACTAAAATGTTTTCAGTATTTTCATCTGCATTTCTAGAGAAATAAAGCTTAAGAAAAGTAGAATCTTGAATATAACATCTCTAAAACTATTTGTTTTTAACTTTACATAGAGGGTAATTTAATATTCTAAACAATTGAACTTAGTATTTTGAACAATGAGTCTTATTTTAATCTTCCATTTAAAATATTTCTCATCATGTTAGTTTTACAATGTTCCACATGGCATATTCTACTAACATGAGAAAATTTTCCACTGAATTTTCTGATTACTTCCCTTTTATTGTAACTACAGTATAATAAAATAGTTTATATCTCAAGCTATTGTTCTTTATTATTTTCATCATTTTCTTATTATCCTTTTATAAAATTTACTGTGCAAATCTTTCTTTGTACCATTTCACATGGCTTAATTAAAAATCAAGAATTTCCAAAGTTTCATCTCTACTATTATGTAATATTATATAACATACAAACACACTGGTGGGAAAAGCTTCCACTTACACGATTTACTGTGAAAAAAGCAACATCATTTTGAGTTAATATGAAATAGAATTCCCGTAATATATATTTGATATCCACTAAAAGACTCAGTCTGATTCTTGACTTTATATAGAAAATCAAAATACAACTTTTCCCAAATGCCACTTTAATACAATAGCCATTTGTACAGCACACACGTATGTACTCACACATACACCTATAGTAAAGAAACTCTTCTGAATTGGATGGTAGTGTTTAAAGCGCCTCCCACTTAATCTTGTTGCTGATGAATATCTTCATGCCTAAGAATTTTATAGATAACCCAGTAGAAAATGTTAAAAATCAAAAAAGCTAATGGGAAGCAGGCTCTGGAGATGGTGTCAATCTTCTTGGCCCGGTCAATAAAGACCTTCCTCATTTCATCTGGGCTTTTGGGCATTACCTGGACAGGATGGTTTGGACCTTTTGGAGCTAAGCCATCTTTTGTTTGCAGACATGGTCCCATTCCATAGGCTGTGAAGCTGAATCGACTTTCTCTTATGTCATCATCCTGTCAAAGAAAATATAAGAAAACTCATTAGTAATGGAATAGAACATGTACAGCAGACATTTCAGAATCATAAGTTCTGTCATGAATGTGTTTACACTAATATAAGGGAAAGATAACTTAAGCATCTATAGATGAGCTGCCTTTTTCCCTGTGAAGTTTTATTTTTCCCTCATCATATAGATATTCCATTAATAAATACGAAGCTCTTGAAAGATAGGTTTTAATGGAAAACTAAAGTTTGATGTTATCTACATACTAGTTGAATATATAGAGAGTTAAAGAAAAAAACTAATGGTATATTGTACTATATATGTTCATACCCTGGACATTTTTTACATTACTGCCTAAATGTACAAATATGTATGTCAGAGGGGAAAAATACCAGGAACATTGTCTGAATTTTTCTTTATCATGGAGACAAGCTTTTAATACTTGTTTCCTACAATTCTAAGTTACTTCCTTAGAAAACACAGTCTAGCACAATAACACAGCTTGATTTTTGTTATTCTTACTTTATGCTACTCCTGCTTTACACTAACACTTTTGAAAGATCTATACAGTCTTATTTACATATACTTACTTTTCAGATACTTTGGTTTGATCAAAATAGAAACTAGTTTATTTCATGTTCGAATAGTAAACTTGCCAGAAACTTATTATTCACAATATTATGTTCTTCTGAGAGGTAGAGTTACTTTTAAATGTGAGAAAATGATAAGAATGTTCCATATATATAAATAAAAATGTAAAAGAACAATTATTTAATAAGCATATAATAAGATATGCTTATGTAAGTGAAATATGATATTTAAAAATTTATAATGGAATCTATTGGTGAATAATTTAAAGCATTTATTTAAAATGTGACAGTAGATAGCTACCAATGAAAGGGGTTATTTGATCCTAAAATTGGAAGATAATAATATATTTTATAAAGTTGTGTCTCTCTTATTATAGTATTGTTTTAGAGTAACGCAAAATAATTGGCTCAAATGCTTGAAAAGTACTTAAGGTCTATGAAAGTAGCTGTCCAATGAGCAGAACACTATGAGTAGGAAAATGAAAAAGTTACTGTTAATAGATTCTAAAAGTGAGAAAATGACCAAAGCAGATTCACAGATATATAAAACAGGATTTTAAAAAATTATGAATGTAAGGTAATTCCACCTGAAGAAACCATATAATTATTGAAAGACAGTTCAATGAAAAAGTGTATATAAGTAATTGAAATTTAAGGAAAAAAGCCTGAAATGAGTTGAAAATTAAAATTACCTTAACACAAAGCTACCATTCCAAATCACATATGACTGGTACTGTAATCTGACAAAAATTGGAAATAAATTTTCCAATATTCTTTAACAAGCCTATTCATTTATATTGCTGTTTCTTTGGCTTTCATGAAAATTTTATAGCAAACTTATTGTTCATATTGACATTTTCTGTGTCTTGGATAAAAGCGTATGTAGATACTAGAGACTAATTTGCTTTTATGTGAGTGCCAGAATAACATACTTATAATTTAATAAATTAAGCTGATGTTTGTGTTGCAGAAAGGAAATGTAGGCCACCTGGGTAATTTGGGTATTCAGCACATCAGCTGAATATTGACATATCATACAGAATTTTAAACTGTATTAACCCATGTATTTAAAAATTCCATTTTAAAATAGGACAAAAATATCTTAGCATTTATGTATGTTGCTATGTTAGTTGAAGCATTTGGAAAATTCATACCAAAATGCTGAGATTTCAGCATTCTACCTCTTTGTCTGATAGAATTCACTGAGTACCTTTTTCCTGGAGAACTTACTTTAAAACTGTTAGAGACCACAGCTGCTCATCTCAAAACAGAGAGAATCCATTTAAAATTAACACATTTAGTCCACAACTAGAATTTTGGCAGTTGTATCTTTCTGTATAACTGCCTGTTTGTAAAGAGTTAACATCAGGACCAGGCTACTATGGGACAGCTTATAATGACCTCTGAATGCTGTAGCAGCATTTCCTTGAAAACAATAGAATTAAACTAAGGGGAATTGTAGCCTGCCATTGGGAAGGGCAGCTACACCTCCAAGGGGCCTGGTGGAGCTGCACATAGGCCTGTAGATATTTGTCCCACGTGTCTGGACCGTATACACATTTAGTTCAAAACAAAGGCTTTGACTTCTCTGTGTGAAAGCAGTCACACACTCCTTGACTTTGTGCCTGTATGACCTGTGGATGAGGGGGCATAAGAAGTCTTCTTGGGAAACTGCCAAGACTCCCATGCAATGATGATATCATGTCCTGATTTGTTTCCTACATCACATTCTTGTCTCAGGCTGAATAAATGTAATACTTACTAGGTTAAAGTCCTTTGGTATCTGAGACTGTGAGTGACCATTTGAATCCTAGATCTCAGAAGTAGAGACAGAAGTGATCAGGTTTTAGAATCTTTTTTTTTTTTTGACTCAGGATGGCCAAAAATTTTGAGTGAGAGTTCAGTTGAGAATCCATGCTAGATTAAAGATAGTAAATCTGTAGAGCATAATGACATAAACCTTCCTATTGGAATATGGCTAACATAGATTCGTTTCTTGCTGGAGTGTCAGACAGATGGTCAATAAGAAAAAAATTAACAGAAAGTGGCTCAAGAAGGAATTAATTCCCATTCTCTGTTAATCAGTCCTCATAAAACTGAAATTGTATGGAGGGAAGAAAAACAGCAGAGAAAGCACTTCATGAACTGTGCCCAAGATGAAAACAGAAGCCCTGTTGGGACTTGGAAAAGCATTATATTTAATTTTGATGTCCCCAGGCAAATAACACTAGAAACTAGTATCTTTAGTGCTGACCCATCCCATAAAATATGTGTGCTACAAATCAAAGATGTGTAATTTTAAAATTTATATTTTTGTAAGCTTTAAAAAACAGGTGAATTTAGTTTTAGTTTTTAACTTGATATTTCAAAAATTATTATTTCAACATTTGTTCAAATTAAAAATTGAGATGGTTTACATTTGTTATTTCTTGCAAAGTCCCTGAAGTCTGGTATGCATTTTTTGTGCGCAGTACATATCGATTCAGACCTTACTTTTCTAGTCCTCATAGCCACACGTGTCTAGTAGCTACTTAATTGGACTAAGAGTGTATAGTACAAAGGACCTGGTTTACTTTGCTGAGAAGTGTGGGCAGATCTCCAGGCAATCGATGCTTTCTGAAACCTTTAGATTAACTGACCTAGAAGCTAATAATATACTTTTGGATGCTGTAGCATGGAAGTAGTATTCCTCAGGCTGTCTTCATACTTGACATCCTCCTGCTCCAGCTTCCCAAGAGTGTTGGGATTACAGATACCCTGCTGCAATGCCTTTTCAGAAAAGTTGATGAGCTATATGTAGTAGCAAACCTGGGCTGGCCATATAATAATCAGAAATGAGGTAACCCAATATTCTCTCATCTAAACCAGTACATAAACTGTGGTTACAGGAGTCCCTTAGTTACGTGTTCCTTCTCTTGGGTAAGATGGAGGACAAATACATTCCTGGTCATATTCACTCTTGCAGTACCCACGCTGAGTTTCACTGATGGGAAGTAAATTTAGACTACTCGAAGAAAAATGATGGTCAGAGGTGAATCTATTAGTTCTCCTTAGGTGGCTGTTAAGACACAAAAAGAACACAGTGAAAACGGACAGGATTCCTGTGAGCAATTTCCTGGCGCATTTATTGCCAGCTGGGAGGTCGGAAGTCTGTTTCAATTTCAGCAGCTGCCTCCCCTAAGGAGCCCTGTTAGATCTGCTCCTTTCATCTCAGAAGTTAAATCCAGTGGTGCCAGTGGGGGATGGGAACAAAAGGCACTGACACAGGTTGCTAAATTTACTCCATCAGTTAAAGTATTTGAAACTAAAAAGACTGACTTGAATGAAGACCACAATCTTGTCCATTTTGCGAAGGACTCCAAGGTTATGCCACGGTTAAAGTTGAATCACCTACATTAGTAAAGAGTTTTCTGGAATTACTGGATACCAGTACAACATATGGTACACTTGTTAGGAAATAAGATTGTAATATAAGAGAAGCTGGTCGGGCAGGGAAAGAGGCAAGGTGATTAGCTATTAGAGTAGGTGTCAGGGCCATACCAAAAAGTATAGATAGGAAAAAAGAGTATGGTATTGCTGCAGGTAGTATTGCTTTTGGCTAAATGTACAACTGGAAATGTTGAGACATAATGGAAAGATCTTGCCGTTTTTGGCTTGAAATTAATTGCTGACAAGTCATTCTTTAGGCCAGTTTTAATTAAATGTATTAAAACTAGAGTGTTTTGAGCCGCCTAATCTTTTTTTTTTTTTTTCTTTTTGGTACAAGGGATTGAACTTGGGTCCTTGCGCTTCCAAGGCAGGCATCTGAATCACTGAACTAAATCCCTGGCCTGAGCCACCTGATCTTTATCTATAGTAAATATTGAGCAGTATGAGAGTCCAGGAAGAAAAGTGGGAACTTTTGACTCTGATGAAACAAAAAATTATAGTGGCAGAAGTATATAGCTTCATCATTTGTTTTAGAATAATGTGTCTGGCCTATCGTAAAACTAGATGGATCCTTACTAATAAAAATGTTCTAAAAACCTAAATGTGAGGCTGGGGAGTTCGATCCCCAGTACTGGAAGCAACAACAACAACAAGAATAAAATCTAGATGGACTTTTCAGGCAGTTGCTGAATATTTGTGCTCAATAAAAAATTCTGCCAATGGTACCCAACAGGCTGGATGGAGTTTCAGGCTGACAGGGAGGCAGAGGGGATTTGATAGACGTGACTGATGTTTGTTATGTTTTCTCTCTAATTCCAGTCATTAAGCATGTCAAGCACAGTGTGCCTTCATATGGAGCAGACACAACTATACTTTTCCTTCCTGCCCTAAGGGAACTGACTTCTGCAATATACTGGCACTACCTGATAAGAGAGGATGTGGTGCAGATCATCCTCAGAAGTAAACTGATGTCAGTACGAGTGTTCAATGA